GCTCCAAAACTCATGGCTAATGATGGGCCACTCGTCTTCTAGTTCTTCACTGATTGTCAGAAGCTATGCTGTTACCGACAAGCACATGACAGCATAGATCCGAGCTTTCGACGCCGTTCGCTCACCTTGCAGCACGCGGCAGACGGGCCCTGTTACCTGACAAGCACGCAGCAAAGTTTGACACGTTGTGGTACAATCCAAACGGTACTGCCAAGCCGGCAGTTCAAGCAGCCTCTGCTATTTTCTTGCGGCCCCTGAAATGCGAAGGTGTCGCGTCGAAGTCACCTGCAATGTAGCCAAACGTGAAAAGCTTGGAAACGATGCAACAGCGCCCACCGTCCTGTGTCTTCAGGAGGTACACTGCCCCGCGCATCTGCTTCCGCAGCCTTGATCTCTGCTGCGCATCGCAGCCAACACAAACAAATTTCATCTCAACGTTGAGCAACTGGCCGACGACAAGTCGAGTCTGCATCCTTCCGTGACGAACCACTGCACTTCGCATCCCAATTCCTGAAGGGAACCATCTTTCAAAGCATTTGGCATATGTCACCGGCAGACATGCGCCGCCACCTACCAACCAGATCCACGCCTCGAAAACTGCGTTGAAAAAAGGCATACCGGCCAAAATGCCGGGAGTCTTTGCCAGCAAATGTGCCTGCCAACCATCTCATGTCAAGCAGTTACGTGTATGCGGGACTAAGTCGTGCTTGCTTAAGGTAAGCACCTTGACCGGCGTGCTGCCAACTACGAAGGCTCCGACGTCAAAGCTTGGCATGTCCTCGCACGTTGCAACTTAGAACCGCTTAGTCGCAGCAAGTTGTTTGCTGTGAGCTCCTGCTGCAAGAACCGCACCACATCCTCTCGGTAGTGTCGCGGTAGAAGCAGAGAGAAATCACTGCCTGCTTTGCAACCGTCCCGGTGATGCGATGCGATTGCTCCGAACATGTTCCGATGCCACATGGCGCAACTTCGCAATTCCTTATATTTCGTTGCCATGGGAGCTAAAGGGGGGGCAACCGGCCTGCGGCACCGGCAGGCAAGAAATTGTCCATGATCATCAACTACTTGCATGCAAGGACATGCTATCTGCAAGTAGCGATAAAGACACTTTTGTCAAAATGCCACAAGTCAATGCATGAATTCAAAGTTGTGCGGAGATTTTTGCCTGCTGCATGTCAACAACCATCCTGCATGCATGGAAAACTTGTCCGTGCTGTTGAAGCCAACTCATGGCGTCCATGAATAGACGTGAAAACTCACACACGATATGTGTGTGTGTGTGCTCTATGCACGTGGTTCTCTTGCGTTTGCAGTGGTGATGAACTCTTACTCCGTTTTGCTCTTCATCAATCCTCACTCGTACTCTTACTGCCCCTCGCACTCAATGACTCAATGCCACTGACTCCCCCTCACTCTCGCTTGCGCACTCCCACTCCCACTCACTCCACTCCCACTCCCACTACCCGCAATCTCTGCAAAGTGAGTGGCTTCTTTCACTTTGATGGCCATTCGCGGTTTCATCTTTAGTAAAAATCAAGCTGAACGAAAGGTCAGGGCTGCTTGAAAGGGAACCAAGGTTGCATTGCTACCGGACAAACGCTGGATACTTTCTCTGTTTTGACCAGCGTTGACTCTTCTGATCCTCTCCTGGGCACTGCGTTCAGGTCATTCTTACGCAACACAACTCAAAAGGCTACGAGGCTTCAACGAGAGCATGTACATGTGCACAGAGCGAATTTTGAAAGCTATGCAAACATGACAGAGCGGAAGAACATGCAAGTGCTGACACTTTCACTTCTTCCGTTTTAGTTTGCAAGAAATGCGGTTCGCGTAACCGCACTGGCGAACTGTGATCACTCTGAATCAAAGAAAAATTGGGAAGCATATGCTCAAAGCAGCCCAAGGTGTAGACAAATGAAAAAAGTTCAAAGCGAAAGCATGCTATCGTTGTGTAGTGTGCTTGCTTGAATCAAAAAGCGGTGGGACAGGCAGAAACATCACCGAAACTACCCTGGTGGGTCTCGGTCGGTAGGTATTTAGGTAGCAAGGTCTGGTTGACGTAGCTGCTGGCTTGGTAGCTAGGTGGTAATAGCTATGTACTTAGGTTGGTCGGCCGGTAACCCAAGTTTCTTAACTTGGAAGGACTTCAAAATTAGCCAATCAGACTTTGGAAAGCGTGTATTGACCACTATGGGATTTGGTTTGAACACCAAACCTTTCCAACTTAGGTTATGCGCTTGACCAAGTAACGCATCCTTAGAGTTATCACTCCGTTTTAGGCACGCCCAGCATCGAATTCAATTTCAAACCCAAACGAAATCGAGCCCCCATTTCTTATGTTAATGGGTTTTGCTTCCTATTGACAAAGCCTTCTTAATTCTCAAGACAGCCATACCTCAGTGGCTAAGCGCACTCGTCAACTGCCAAAAGCCCCGCCTCCACTCACCGGGTGTCTTCCCTGCGTCGCCCTTGAAATAAAAGAATCCAGCCTCTTAAATTGTTTGATTTTGCGTCTTTTGCTCGTTTTCGGCAGAAAATGCAAAGAAAAATCGAGAAGAACAAATTGAGAATTGGCGCGCCGAGGTCAAGGCAATCCTGGTTTCTTCTTTCGATTTGAAATTTTTGTTGATGGTTTCTTTTCGCACGGCTCTTAAACCAATGGCTTCTTAAACAGTGCTGTCGCTGTGGGTAGGTGCGACGAGCTCTACGACAAGCACACGGAGGGCCAGCAACAGGCCCACCTCGTCGACTTGAACGACTCTCGCTGGCACTCCAAAACCCGAACAAAGCACCTGCGCCACGCCTTCGCCGTGCATCTCTGCGAGCAAACACGTCTCGGTGCTGAGGGAGAAGCTAGCTGTCGTCTGTCCGCGAAAGCGCACCGAATTGGAGCGTTGCGAGGAAGTAGGGGTGGTCGACGGTGAAGCTTCTGTCGGCCTTCACCGTCGAACGCCTCCACGTCATGCGCTCGAAGAGTTCCAGCACAATGGTTTCGTTCACCGACCCTCAAATGCTGCGGCCGAGATTACGTGGCAATGCCATTTGCTTGCCTTCGCCTTCTAGGCTGCCACTGCCGCCCGACAAAGAGACACGTCCCGAAGAGGGACGGGTTTCAGGCTGCTTGGCCCAACTTAGTGGAAGTGTTGATGGTGGTGGAAAACATGTTGTCCCTATTACCTGTTGTTCTTGTTTCAATTGTAATTGCAGCAGTACCAGTAGCGGTATTATTGTGTTTAGTAGTTGCTCTTGTTCTTGTTGTATAGACGTGGCTGAGTTTTACAGCTAGTCGAGGCTTTT